GAGCAAAGGAGCTAATTTTATGGTGAATTTTGTAATTTTTTTTTTATGCAATTCATGAAATGTGTTGGGATTTGTAATTTTGTTGAAGTTTTGGAATTTGTTTGTTGTTCTGCAAGGGTTGTGAGATGAGGGCTTCAAAGAAGCATGGTGGTGGGATGAAGAGGCAGGCGAAGGCTAAGATGAGTTCGTCCAAGGATATACAGAGTGTTGCCGCGAAGGTTTGTTGTGTAATTTTGAGGATTTGTATAAATATTGACAAAGTTATAGACGGAATGATAAAAGATTACTGTGCTTTGCAGAATCGCAGGGAGAGGATCAGTGAAAGGCTTAAAATCCTACAAGCTCTCATCCCAAACGGCACAAAGGTGAGCTTTTTCCTTCATCTGTAATTTCCAAAATTTTCATGGATTTATTTGATTAGGGCTCATCTTTTTCTGATTTTTAGGTAAAAAAAAAAGATTTTTTTTTTAATTTAAGATATTTATCTAAAGTTTTTTAAGCAAAATGGGTTCATTTGTAATTTGAAATTTCAGGTTGATTTGGTTACAATGCTAGAGAAAGCCATAAGTTATGTGAAATTCCTGCAATTACAAGTAAAGGTAATGACCAAATCATAAAATTTGGTATTAGCATATTATTTATTTGTTTCAAAATTAAAATAATATATTTTACATTAAAATATATTTTAATATTATTTGATAAATATTTATTGGAATATATTATTCAGGTGTTAGCTACTGATGAGTTCTGGCCTGCACAAGGAGAAAGAGCACCTGACATTTCTCAAGTGAAGGAAGCCATTGAAGCAATCTTATCTTCTCATAGAGAAAGGAATTCAAGCTCTAGTTAAGAAATATGCTCCTCAAAGCTTCAAAAATTGAAGAAATAAATCTGAAATTAAGTAATTTCATTTTTTTTTTTTGTAATTTATCACTTTTTTTTGTAATTTGCAAAGGAATTGTAATGTTTGAGGGCTTAGATAGTTTAATTAGTATATTAGTTCTAATAAAATTTCTTTTTATTTTCTAACACATATTATGTGAATTTAACACATAATTTGGTAATTAATAATTAAGATTTAGTTGATAAAATTTAAATATTTATAAATTTGCCCCAATGTCTCATTTGACCAAGCAAGATTAAAAAATCCAATGATAAAGATATGAAGTTACCTTAGCGAGTATATATTAAGAAAAAAAATCATGATTTTTATTTAATTGGCTTGGTTAAAATTATAATTTTCTATTTTGGAGGTATTGATTTAGAATTTAAAAATTTTTAATAAAATATGAAGGATTTATGTAGCACTAAATGTTGGTTTTAAATTGCATGCCCACTATATCCTAAATGATAGATTTTTCGAATTCCCTCTCACACAAGTGGCCTTAAGGAGGTGATACTCGAATTGTTAGACACATTATAGTTGAGAGCTCTTATAATAGCCTCTGATCATTCTTTTTAAAAAGAATATATATATATATATATATATAGCATAAAAATGTGCTACTTACATGTATGTAATGAGCTCTTATAATACATGAAAGATATTCTTATTTTTTATACATAGTTAATTATGAGCATTTGAATAAGTAGTATAGTACATGTTTTTAAAATGAGAAAAAAAATTACCATTTTAATCAAATTATAAGTCTCCTCGCAATTATATTATAATTTTATTTAAAATTCATA